TCTGAGGGAACTAAACCAGATTTAACTTTTTCCATAAATTCCATTTGATGATTCATTGTATCAGAATGAAGTTTAAAACTCGGCAGTTCCTTTAAAAATAGCTCCATCAATTCAAGTTTCGTTATTATTAGTGACTTTTTACTGGTTGTTCGTATTAACTTAGTAAGTACCCCAATTTTCCTTTCTTGTTGTTGCGACTTCCATTAAAACAAATTTATAGTATCAGACTCATTTTCTTTGTGTAAAACTAGCTTATAATTACCTTTTGCAATCTCTTCTAAATTTTGATGATTTGTGACTTTTTCAAAAAATAACTTGGCTACAATATACTTAAAATTTTCATGCTTCACACAAGCACACGTTTCCCTATCTTTGGTTTTAGGTTGAACCACCCAAAATGGCTTATTATGATAAAAAGTTGTAAAACCAATGAGAATATTAGGAAATTCGAATTTAAATTTTTTAAAACATGAGGCTAGACTAAACAGAAGCAAACGTTTCTGTTTTTTTACTTTTTTTTTTGTTATAAAATTCGCCTTTCCTGGACACATTTTTGATATACGATCACTTTCAAAAAATGATCTGATCTTGTTTTTTGTTTCTTGGTGAATAGCATTTGATCTATTCTTTCGTTTGAGTTTAAGGTCTTTTGTACTTTTAATGAGGTTTCTGTTTTCTCTGTAGGGCAAAATCCTATTTATTTTGTTGTGTAGTTTATATTTTTTTAATATATTGCCACTTAATAATTGCCGAGCAATTTGTTTGTTTTTCTTATTAGAAGGTTCTATTTTAGTAAAATTTGTCACAATTTGCTCTTTTAAAGCCGCCCCAAAAACCAATTCTCTTTTTACGTCGCCAGGTATGATCCGCCCATTTAAAAAAGTAATAATTTTTGTATTGGGAGATTCTAGTGTAGAGGCCTGATTTTTCTCTGTACCATCCTGTGCGTTCTCTAGTGTACGATTTTGAGTAATAATATTATTGGGCAATTTTTTTTTCTCTTGTCTTTCTAATCGCTTTTTGTATTTAAGTTTCTCTCTTTTTAAATCTTCTATTTGTTTCTGCCTTTCAGCTAATGTATGTTTCATTCTTTCTATCTCTCTATACAAATCTCTAAGTTTGTTATGCTTGTGCTTTCGTGCATTAATTTTCTGATAAGACATTTTAATTTTTGGTGTATCATTAGTACTTTCCGAATCAGTCTTTTGAAATGCACATGGTGTAGAAAACGATGTACTTGGCGTACATAATGAATTACTTCGCGTAGAAACTGAAGTATTAAGTGTACTGAATGGTGGTTGTTTATGGTTTTCTGAAGTTTGGATTTCTATCTCCTCTTTATTTGTATTGCTAGTAATCAAATCAATATCTGGAGTTTCTAGGTTTTCGTCCATTTCTGCTAAACTATTTTCTGAGTCCGAATTGGGGGGAGTTGTGTTTATTACTGAATTTAAAGATTTTTTCTTTCTTCTATACTCTTTCTTCGTTTCTCTCCATTTTCTTCTTTGTATTTTCTTTTGTTTCTTAGACATATCGCTGATCTTTAAAATAGTTTTGTTAGCTCTACACTCTCGTTTTCGTATCTTGTCTTTTTCCCTTATGACAGCTTTTTCTTCTTGAGTTAATCTAGCTCTACGTAGCCGTGATTTTTCTGTGTTATAATTAGGTTTAGAGGTAAAAACAGCCTTATTTTTGGACTTTTGTTTTTTAATAAGTTTTGTTTTTGGTTTTCTCAAATTAACATTTTCGGTTACAAGTTTAATCTTTGGTAAACTATCTGGTGTTTTATACTCAAGTATTTTCATATTTTGATTAATGTCATTGGTTTTTAACTCATTATTATCGTTTAAAGAATTGCCTGATTTTTGAGTATTTCTAGAATCATCAGTATTTTGGCTTGGTCCTTGTTTTGTTTTTTTGTTAGACTTTCTTAATGTGACGTTTGATATGACTCTAATTTTTTTCTTTTCCTCCCACTTTTCTAAATTGCGCAGGTAAGCGTTTTCTTTATCTTTTCTCAACTTTTTTATAAACTCTTCCTTCTCTGTTTTGTTCATTTTTCTAAATATAAAAAAACAGCTAAGTACTAGTTTGTAACAATAATACAAAAGCAATTATAGAATATTGTCCGGTCAGCACCGCGATTGTCCGGTCCGCACCCTATTATATAGGTGCGGAAAAGACGGTGCGGACGGGACATTTTTCTACTTCTTACTCGTTATTTTATAAACGGTTCATAATAAAAAATATATATTGAGGTTATGTATTACCGATACAATATAATATTTTTCTAAAAATATAAACTTTGAAATAATGCTTATATCGTAACACCAAGCACTATGCAGACGGGACATTAGAAAAATTGCGCAAAAGGACTATTCTTTAATTTTTACAAAAAAACTAGATTTAATGTAAAAATAATAAAACTTACCTGATGCCACTCAACACACACTATAAGAAACAATGATTATCAAGGTTAAACAATCAACAGTGTTGCCAATACGGCCGGGTAATAACAAGGGCCCGAGAGGTGCAGCCTGGACATTTCGAGATTGAGACACACATGAAAATATGATTAAGCAAATGTGTTAAGGTTGATATGGTAATTTAATATACAAATTTATTGGATAATAGCACATAAAACAATACTTGCTAATAACGGTGTGGTTTTAAGCCTAATTAAAATTTAGGTTTGCCTTTAAAATACCAAATATGCTCTGCGCGACAGGTGCGGACGCGGACATTCAGCTTAACTATCTACTAAAAATGTATTTCAAAAACCTAAATTTTGACGTAAATGGGGTTTGTTACGGAAAAGATAATGTGTTTAACATAAACCACAAGAAAAGCGCCGAATATTATAAGAAATATTTTAGTTAATAACCAAAGACATGATTTTTTTCGTTTTGGACAATTAAAAAAAATATCACCGTATCGGTTCATGATTTATGCGACCTACAGACACACACACACACAGACACACACACACACACACACACACACACACACACACACACACACACACACACACAGACACACACACATACACACACACACACACACACACACACAGACATCATCGCGAAAATAGTCAAAACGGATTCAGGGGACCTCAAAACGTAAAAATACGTCGAAAACTCGACGTCGAAAAAAATCATGATTCCTATACTTTCCTTATATCTGTATACAGATAGGAAAGTAAAAAGTTTCCTTTTAAAGTTATGAAGGAAAACCGAAAGGAAAACTGTGACTTTTCTTCGTAAAATGAATAAGGTAATACAGATTTTATCCTTTTGTCAATTTTAAGTTTCTTCATTTATTAAGACCATGTACACCTGACCCAACATATTAATATAGTAAACCTATTTTTTCGTCAAACAGAATTATTTTATAATGAATTTTTCCTTAAAATAAAAATAAAGATTTTTCCATTTTGTCAACTCCATACGGGAGATGTTTAAAATTTTACTTTAAATCTTAATAATATACCTAAATAAGTAAATATAAATTGACGCTAAACTTTACGTGACGTTAACTAGGCACCTACCTACATCTTACTAATAGCTTTATAACTGACAAACTGACTCATAAACTAGGATTTTTTTAAAAGTATACCATACATACCTAATAAGATCTTTAAGAAACCGAAAAATCTTTTAATACAGTTTATTCATATAGTTTTTTGCTGCACAACTTTGCCCAGACATAGTAAAACACTTAAAAGTTAACAAATTAACACTGGAAAACAACTACTATATAAAAAGTGTCAAAAAATATCTATAATTCTAAAAAAATAACAATAACTACATAATACAAACATCACAAACAAAATAAATTTAAGATACACGCTACTGATTCCGTGCTACTGCAACTTGTTTGTTTTTGTCGATATAAACGACGACAGTGACGCCACTGGCTTGATTGAGAGGTTGGACCCCAAAATGGCGGTGTGCGCGCAGATGTGCGCGTAGCGTTGCCGCCAAGACAAGTTAGCCTGCCGATTGTTTATTATGCCGTGGTTCAAACATCGACGCTATGATGAGTACGCCACCCCCAAATACCAGAAATTTAGCCGAATTCTCTGCTGTTCCAAGCAGATCTTTAACGAACTCAACATGCATGGACTCGGAACCACATACTTTGATTACTATACGGTGCAAGAGAGAGGTCCGACACGCCCAACATAGGGCGCGGCCATTTTTATTCCTATGCCACAGTTTATAGCTAAAGAATCAGATCGCTCACTCTGCGTCGGCACTTTTGATCTCAATGTTCCAGTTCATACACTGCGCAACTCGGATAATACAATATATGACAACCGTCTATAATAAAACATCAGTCTTCTGCGTATCCTGAATTTGTATCCCTGAAGTAGATGTTATTTTAGAACTTTCAACTGGTCCGAGTGAGCTAACTGATTCTTTAGCAATAAACTGTGACTCTAAAAATAATATTCACTGACACTGATAGCAGCAAGCAAAATATCAGGTGCGTTTTAAGGCATTTCTTTATAAGCCTACCAGAACATACTTATCTAACCAAAGCAATTCTTTATACGGTTTGGTTACTTCCATGACGTCATATGTTACCAAATACGTAACTACTACTAACCATGATGTTTTTAGTGGTAAGGTGTGTGGTAAGGTCAGTAAGGTCCACATTTGAACATATCGGGCATGCGCAAAGAATTGTAAAGATGTAAAGAGATTAAATTAGATAAATTTTTCTGTGGTTTACTGGTTACGGGTTATGATGTAATCTGTGGGGTTATGTTATTGTCTCTGGTTATATGGTTCATTTTGTATATTTGAGTTGGGCATTTTTGTATTTATCAAAGAAAACAATATTTAATATGAAAGAAATTACATTTAACATACAGGGCACTAAAATATCGCTTCAAGAGACCGATGTTGTTGCTGATGCACTTGCAAATGGTAAATTTTAATTAGTTTTTTGTCAACACTTATTAAAATGTTTAATTTTCAGATGATGAGTTCACAATGTTTTATTTTGAAAGAGCAGTAAGAGAGGGTAGGTTAGCATCTTTTGGTGTTTTTCCTCAATCAATAGAAAATTTATCTGTGGTAAGAATTGCCCAAACACTGGAATCAGATAATGGTACTACAGAAGTTTCTGTAGATGAGTTATCAGAACCCAGTAGTGAAACCAATTTTGAAATTTGGAGCAGTAAAGGTAAGCCATCGGAAGAAGATATATTGGCAACCACAAAGCTTTTGGAAATACTTGGCTCTGATAAGTATAAACAATTATTTAATGATAAAAAAAATCCAAAGAACAAGCTTTGGAAAAATGTAGCAATAGTTATGACCGAAAATGGTTTTGCGGTAACAGCTGTGAAGTGTCAACAAAAATATTTAAACTTAGTAAAAAGTTATACTAGCCATGTCAGGCATTTACACCAAACTGGTGAAGGTAAAAAAGTACCTCCTCCATTTTATGAAGAAATGCATAGCATTATAGGGTCAAAAGACAAAATAACTTTGGCAAATAGGGTAGATACCCTTGAAATGCCAAAAGACCTTGAACCTGATGTAAATCAACCTTCCACAAGTAAAGATTCATCTACAAAATACAGCAATACCCAATATAACGTACAAGATGATAAACGATCTGAAAATGACAATGTTAAGACATATCAAAAAGTGTCCAAAAGAAAGACATGTGTTACAAAAGCTGATGTACTAAGTACTATAGTTAATTGCAACAATCAAGTTATTGAAAACCAAAATAAGAGTTTTGATAAAATGTTTACTTTTTTAAATGAACAAAATAAATTGATAGCCCATCAAAATACACAAAGAGACCAACTTATAAACATTCTACAGCAATCTTTACAGCAGACATCAAAAACAAGTAAGAAAAGAAGGCGCTGTAGTTCATCTTCATCATAATATACACAGAATTATTTTTTGTTCGTTTTAGAATACTTTTATTTTTTATTCATTTAAGAATTTTTTTATTATTTTTGTAGGTATACCATTAATTAATTATTAACTGTTTTATTATTTTAAGAATAGTATTTTATTGGGATAAAAGTCTGCTTAGCATTTAGGTTTTTAAAACTATTTGTTCATTAATAAACAATTTTTTCATCCCTGAAAAAGTTTTGTTGCTGTAATTAAGTGACTGTGTTAATACTTTAAGTTTTTTTTTTAATAAAAACTTGCTTGGCATTAAAGTTTTTAAAACTATTTCTGTTTGTTAATATAATTATTTGTTCATACCAGAAAAAATTTTGTTACTATAATTAACTGTGTTATTACTTCAAGATTTTTTTGAGATAAAAGCCTGCTTAGTATTTAAGTTTTTAAAATATTTCTGTTTATTGATACATTTTGTTCATACCAGAAAAAGTTTTGTTAATAAAATTAACTGTGTTATTAATTTAAGATTTTTTGAGATAAAAGCCTGCTTAGCATTTCAGTTTTTAAAATTATTTCTGTTTATAATACATTTTGTTCATACAAGAAAAAGTTTTGTTACTAAAGTTAACTGTGTTATTACTTTAAGATTTTTTTTGAGATAAAAGCCTGCTTAGCATTTAAGTTTTTTAAAACTATTTCTGTTTATTAATGTAACATTTTATTCTTGTCAGAAAATGTTTTATTTCTATTTTATATATTTTTACTACTATTTAAAATAATATGAAGTGTGTAGATCTAAACATTTTGTTTTACATGTTATTGGACATAATCCACAAATGAAAAAGTGACTTTTGAAGCAGAAATAAGTTTTTAATGCATACATATATGAATCATATTTTAATTTTTTATAAAGTTAAAATTTTAATAGGTTTATGTTATTTTTTGTTATCATACGTTCATTAAATGTGTTATTACTTTAAGATTATTTTATTTTTTGTTTATTAATACATTTTTTCAAGCCAAAAAGTTTTATTATTGCAATATTTGTATGGATGGAAAAAGAAATAAAATTCTTATTAAAAATGAGTCTTTATTAAACGAAAAGAGTTAATTGCTATATTATTTAAAATTATTCTTAATTACTGATAGCAGCACAAATCACTTCTCTTGTAAGCAATCGTTCATCATCATTTTCATCTGTTGTAATGGGATCTTCTGGTTCCACTCCTTCAATTTCAAAATCCCAGTTATCATTTTCTCCAATACAAAAATTGTGTAGTGTACAACAAGCTTGTATTATGGTTATAGCTCTCTGAACACTATAGACATTTATGTACAACAATTTCCTCCACCTCATTTTTAAACATCCAAAGACATTTTCTATTTTAACTCTTGCTTTATTGAGAGCTGTATTATATTTTTTTTTGTTTTGCTGTTCTAGTTCCACAATCTTTGTACGGGTTTAACAGCCACTTTAAACAAGGATAAGCAGAGTCTCCAACTAAATGATATTTATCATAAAAGTACCTGTGGGCACCATACTGCACTATAAACCGATGTAAATTACTTTCTTTTAATATACGTGCATCATGAAAGGAACCTGGGTAACCAACTGATATATTCGATAGTGTCATATTTGGAAGACATATTCCCTGCATCGAAATTGAGTGCTGCATATACCTATCTTGGTAGCTATCTTGTTGGTTTACTGGGACTTTGACCTTAAAATGGCAACCATCAATAGCCCCAATAACTCCCGGAAAGCCTGATATTTTCCTAAAGCTTTTCTCAATTTGTATACATTCATTTTTAGTTGGCCACCGAATGAATTGATTACTTAATATTACCAGCACAGACATTATCTCTGTTATGCAATCATGTGTTGACTGTAGTGCAGTATTAAATCTGTCAGCTGTTGAGAGGATGGAATCGCCTTTGCCCAAATACCACAAACAAGTTAATAGGGATATCTCAATTGGAATTGGTTATTCTATAGCTTTTCCCTTCCGCATCCGATTATCCATGTAACGCATGATTAACGTCATTAATACTGGTTGACTCTGTCTTTTTATTCTAAAGCATTGGAAATAATCATGTTCCAAATACAAATCTATCCAGTTTTCATAAAACAAAAGAATTCGAATATGTTTATCTTCTTCCAAAGCTACAGATGTCCACTGGATACTGTTATTTATATTGAAATATAAAGTTGGAAATATGAGACTACTGGCAGAATTTACCAAAAGACGTCTATAACAAAAAATTCTATTTATCTGAACTCTGAACATAAACAAAATAAATAGTATAAACAGTATAAATACCAAATTTGACAAGTGACAACGACAAGTGCTACGAGTTACCACGGTATGTGTAACGTCATCAGAGTAACCACAACGCTGTTACCAAGTATGTTGTGGTAAGCTTATAAAGAAATGCCTTTAGGGTGAGATTACAGAACGTCTGCAACTTTGCAGATCTGCAAATATGGCGGCAATTTTGAAAATCTGCAAATATGACTGACTTACACATGCAAGTATCAAGTTTTCGTATTCCAAATTTGGGTTTAGTGTTGTTGGGGGTAATAAACCACAATAAATATTGCGAATTTGCAGATATTTTTTGGAATACTTACATTTGTAAGTCCGCCATATTTGCAAAGTTGCAGATGCAAAGTTGCAGACGTTCTGTAATCTCACCCTTAATCATCCGCTTCTGCTTCCGGAATTAGGCATTCAAAACAAATGAATTGCCAGTGGGAAGGTTTGGTATATCTAAGGGTGGCGACATACGGTGTATTCTATCTACTTTACGTAAAATCATGAATAATGGATAACATTTAAATATTTTATGTCAAACACAATAAAAATAATATTTTAAAAACCCACCTATACATTTCTTCATAAATTGGCAGGCTTGGCGACTACTACTTCGAATAAAAATAGCGTCCAAGTTGCAAGATTATGTCGCTACCCCCTTAGATATACAAGAATTTCCTACTGGCACCTATTGTTTGATAGGTCGTTGGAATGCCTAATTGTCGGTTTAGTCGTTTTAACCTGTCAGATTAAAACAAGAAAACCGACAATTCCGAAGCAAAAGCGGATGATTAAAACGCACCTATTAAAAATATTGCGCCAAGATGTAGGCAACACGTAATAAGGGTTCAAAATGGCAGAGTTTTCTATCTCATTTTAAAAGGCACTCAGAAAATTGCGCAGTGCGACCATTTTCCGTATGGTCTGATGACATAATAAACACAGGCCAGCCATTGCAACCTAGAAACAAAAAAATTATAGCACTGTGATAGAATTTTCTTAATTTAGGAACGTACTTACTCAATAAATTGCTGAAGAAGTTCGAAAAGCCACGTGTACACAGAGCTTGCTGAACGCGGTAATTAAAAATCTATGCCGATGAACACTATCAAGCGATTCAATTTGTAAAAATATGACCGTTTGAAGTTTAAACTTGTCAGATAGCGAACGCCGAGACCATTACTATCCTTGCGACGTGAGGCTAATTTGGCGATAATTCTATATTTTGCACAAAACTCAAGAAACGTCTTATAACAAGTCATTAAAATACAATTTACTAAATTTTAATCCTTATAAATTTAGATATGTAAGAAATTTAAAACTGGAAATCGCAAAAAAAATTAAATTACAGTAATGTAGTGTATACACGAGTTTTGGATCCCGCGGAGCGCGTGTAATGGGACTTTTGTCGGGAGAATTCTACAACTTAGAAGAAACATACACACTTTAAACTTTGTATACACATTTAGAAGACATGAAATTTGGGTTTGCCTAATTTTCAGACCAAAAAACTAAAAATTGTCAATTTTAGGCAACTTTTCTCAAAAACCGTGTTTTTTGGTCGTCACTCAATGAACAGTGGTCAAAAAAATAGATAAAATATATTTGCAGAATTTTCCGTAATGTAATCGTATTCTAGACACAATAGAGTACTCAAAAAAAAAGTTTTGAGCCATTGGGTGCATTTTTGGCATTTTTGTGCCACTTCAAACTTTCGAAAAAAAAAATGTTTTTTTTTAAGGAAAAAAATTTATTTAATTGTTTGATATCTTGGCCAATTATGGTCCGATGTCGGTTAAATTCACACACACACATAAGATTTCACATTTAAGAGTAAGCTTTGTAAGTGGTATTAAAAAAATTCAAATAGTTTGGCCGTTATAGGCAAACAATGAAATTAGGACCGCGGTACACTTTGCCCTTCCGCCATATGTCCAATTTTGGGATTTCTCTTGCTCCCTTCTGGGAATCACTAGTCACGTCCTTTAAGTTCAAAACGCATTTTTGTTTTTTCAAATATCTTAATTTTTACCAATGTTATGAAGAATTTAGTGTTTGAACATTTAACAAATTCAATTTTTCGACCTTCATCACCTCAAAATACTAAACAAATTTCAATCGTCCATACCGCGAGAACGGTGCATCGGATCAAAATTTCTCAAGAGACATAAAAATTATCATTTTTCTTATTCTTTCAAATGTCGTAAACTGCGTTTTAAAAATATTGATTTATTTCCGACATGCGCCTGCGCAAAATTGAAAAATTGACAAAATCCAAAATTTCGGCACTTTCGAAAAACTGCTAGATTTTGTTTTGCCTTTTTTCGAAAAGATCACCTCAAAATACATAGAATCCATTTTGTTTCATCTAATCACAATTTAATGTAAGCTCAAAACCCGTAATTTAATTCGATTATAGGTATCCTAAAAGATTAATTTAAGGTAAAAATTGACTCTCCGGCTATAAACGATCATAACTATACAGATATAATGAGAGAACTGATTTTTGGTATTTCAATTTATTTCAACTCAACTTTTACAATAATTCAACTGATAACATTAACGTTTATATAACGTCTATCATAAAACTGACGTCAGCAGGATCATCGACTTGCTAGAACTGTCCAGATTTTTCTTGACAAGGAATTACATTTCTGGACTATTCTATCTTCTTCTTTTACTCGTACTTTTACTTATGATGACCGCAACACACTGGAGGGCGATGGGTGACATTGCACTTCTTTTTGTGTTCGTACTGCAGGGTGCAGAGTTACAATATTGTAGTGACCTGATAAAACCCCTCGTCAAAATAGGTAATTTAAGAACCTCAAAGGATTAAAAATGGAGAACGTTGAAAAATGTTTACCAAAATGAAAACCATGACCTATACGTACTGTTACTACCAAAACACCAAAATTCTAAAACTTCCGAATTCATCCTTATCCAAATACCACCGTATAGCGGATTTATCAAATTCAGCGAGCTGTTTGGAAACATCTGTTACATTTTTAGAAGTGATCGTGACCTGCCGAGCAATAATAATTATTATTTCTTTATATTTTGTTATAAGTTGGTGTACGGCCTTATTGACTCCCCACAACATACCAAGGTTTATTTCAGAATTTAATTGTTGTTATTTACTATTTTCAAGAACAAATGTGTTCACTATATTTGCAATGTGTAACAAATTCAATCAATTATGTAATCAGGTTGAGTTATACCCCACAAATTTTTATATGTTCAAACAAAATGTTTTTCTTAAAAATAAATAAAAGTACTGAATATTCGTTTATGTATGTTTTAATTAATTAATAAATTATTATAAAACACTTTTCGCTAAATTAAATTTTAACCTCTAATTGGACCACAGGTCGGTTTGGATAATAAAGGATTTTTTTTAAATCCTCTACTCGCTTATTATGGCTACTACTATTGTTAATATTATTTGAATTCATTAATAAATTTCAAAAAATAAAAATAAAATTGTATATAAACTATGTATTATAAAGAAAAAAACACTCAATAATACAAGTACATTATGCAATAAATTATTTGAACTACTAAAAACATTCACAAGATACCTATACATAATATTTTCAGTCATAACATAAAGAAGCACTAACAATTACTTAAAATAACTTTAAATATCAAATAGGAAAAATCCTCCAATAGATGGTACTTGCGGTGACCTAGGTAATAGTACTTTATTGATGGTATGAACTATACCATTAGTCGCTAGATTATCACAACTAGTAACCACAGCCCTGTTGATGCGTATTCTACTTCCGCTTCTACCAACTTCAACTTGATTGTTGCCTAAGGTTGAGACAAAACTGCTAAATCCCCATGAACGTGGCCCGACTCCGGAACAACATAAAATCTCTAAAAATAATAAATGAATTAAATAAAAAAACATTTGTCAGATGTCAGACGAATATAAAATTTCTCGATTTTAATATGGATTATATGACTCTAAAATTAAAAAAAAGGAAAGTTCTGTTAGTTGTAGCAAATAATTTAACAAATATTCTATTTACGAGTAATAGAATGGATCACACCCTAACACATAATATTATATATAGGTAGAATCAAGACGAATTAAATGCCTCATCCTTGAATGGACACTTTTTGTTACCATGTTTTAAATAATAAATAATAAATAACCTATAATATTATGTGTTAGGGTGTGATCCATTCTATTACTCGTAAATAGAACATTTGTTAAATTATTTGCTACAACTAACAGAACTTTCCTTTTATTTTAATTTTAGAGTCATATAATCCATATTAAAATCGAGAAATTTTATATTCGTCTGACATCTGACAAATAACAAAAGGTTACCTCATTATATAGGAGAGTAAACTCTAACTACGAGAGTCATTTATCGAATACAGCCCAGGAGGCTGAAGATATAATTATTGTTTAAAATCCGGTGTTTGCCTTACCCTGTTTAGAAAATAGTACCGACAAGGCCCAAATAAGGCCAATTTCACCTTCATACTTTCAAAACTATAAGCAAAGGTAGGTATGGAACCAAGAGTTCTGTTAAATATGGAATTGATAATTTTTTTAAAGACGATTCTGTAAATAACGGTACTCAAAGTCCAATAAAGAGGTTGAAAGATGATAAAGAGGTATGTATTTTTTATAATATGTACTGTTATATGTTCTGTATAAAATCTGTGGCGGTCAAAAAACCATTAAATGTCACAATTCCTGTCATATTGATATATTTTTATTAAACATTAAATTATTTTGGATTGGTTTATTACCTTAAAATGTTTAAAATTCTAAATTAAATGTAGTTAGTCACAGACAATCTGAAAAAGTTTTTATGGGAAGCAGCCAGAGTAAATTCAGTCCAGAACCAAAAGATGCTTGGCACAAAATTAAAGGTACTGGTAAAAAACCAAAATATCTCCAGAGTGTCCTGCAAGCCATCATTGATCTGAAAGAATCAACGGGTTCGTCGCAAGGAAGAATCATCGACTATCTTAGGAGTACCATAAAAGAACCACAAGTAAACTTAACACCTAGACATTTCTCAATGAATGTAAAAAGGGCTCTACAATATGCTGCAATTCATGGAATGGTTATACAGCGAGGCGGAAAGTTCCAAATGGCTCTTAATCAGAAGGAGTTTGAAATATTTAAAGGTAATAACTTTTTGATTCCAATATATGTGAAAGAAATATGTGAAAATTTTATATACTAAATTTTGAATGTTTTCTTCTCTTACATGTACGTCGATACCTCAGTTCAAGACTGCGGTAGATGTGCGACACAATTCTCTAGTTAACCAATATGCTTGCACTACATATCAACTAAAACGATTTTGTATACTTTTAATTTTAGGTCTTCGTGTTGGAGATCCTCTAATAGACAGTGTAAACACAAAATGCAAAAGAAAAGGCAAAATATGTAGAAAACAGGTACAAAATATAAGAATAAAACGAAAACCGAATAAAATACAGAACGAAAGTTCTAAGAAAAATATAAAAACAGAGGTGGAAAGTGGCAATACCAATGAAATTGATGATGATTACTTTATAAAGCTTGAACAATCTTTAAAAAATAAATAGCTTTCATTTTAGTAGATTGACATTTACCAAAAATATTAGCATTTCATTATATTGTTTGTCTTTACCTGTTAGTATATGATTTTTTAAAACAAATTCTGCCTTTTTCTTATCATTCAATAGATCTTCTCTATCTTTCCCATCCAATGCAGCAAAAGTTTCATCTGTGGGTGCCAAAAAAGTCAAGGACCTGTTGTTTTCTTGTAAAATTTTCTCTATTTCTGTATCTTTTAAGAGAGTTCTTAGAGTTGAGTATTTGTCATCGCTTGATATAACTTCTAGAATGTTTTTAGTTGGTGGTATCAATATTTTATTGACTTCATGGAGTACTGAACCACAAGCTTTTTCATCGAAACCTACAAGCCTAGCACAATTGACAGTAGCTCTATTGACGACGTTGGTAAATAAAGGAAGCTGAAATTACAAATATTAATTTTAGTTATTATTTATATTTATGAATTAAAGACATTAACAGACTATTTACTCAGCAGTCGTGAAAAAAATCACATTTAGTTTCACGATTGACAACATGTATGCAAATCTGGACTGGGATTCATTCTGTCTCGATCTGTTTTATAGCGTTTTTGACTGGTCAAACTCAGTTTACACTCAGTTCACACTCGTGAAGTGCGAGTTTTCGTTGCTAAGCACTGGTTCAATTTAGTGACGTCATACAAACTTATTTCAACAGAACACGCAGTTGTCCACCCAATGCGTTGCATTGCATTTGACAGCTACCATCTGAGTGATAAGTAGAAGTAGTACCTTCCAAATTCCAAATAAGATCCAAGCCAAGCTTTCATTTTAAACATTTATTTAATTCTGTTATAGAATATTTTATCAACAGATTAACATAAACTTACTGATGTTTAAGTTCTTAAGATGTCAACGTATACTATGTATATACAGGACTTACAAGAATATTTATGGTACCTACCTGGAAGTGGTGCCACACCACCGATTCATTGTAATCTTTTATTTTTGTCAGTTTAGTTTCATTAAACTTGGCCTTAATTAAATCTTCTTCATCTGAATCTAACGAAAAAGTTTCCAATATTTATTTAAAAATTCTAAAAAATTTACATATTTTAGAAACAACTCTTCATTTGCCATCGCCATATTTGTTACGACTGAACTGAAACTGAAAACCTGTCTCTAAACTCGGTTCACAAAAGTGCGCACCGATTTATTTTTTTTTTGAGTTCAACTGATTCCAACCTAAAATTCAAAAACTGGCCCGGTTCGCACTGCTCTTACGTGTCGAAAGTGCAAAAGTGCACACCAGTTTCACGAGTCGAAAAGGCTATTAATTTCGACAAATTTGTTGTAGTGTTGTCAGGGTAACTTAAAAGTTTTGCGAAAACTCTATAAAAGGACCAAGCACAGCGCTGTTTGGCAGAGCTACACCGAGGCACTTACCACCTACAACATAGAAATCAGGAAAACAGTAACAGCTTCAGGAAATTCTGCTAGGACATTAACAAATCACCTGCGGCAGCGAGACTGCACAAGGCTCTGACAAAAGGAAGAGCAAATACAGCTATGGCTCTAAAGAAACTAAATAAAAGCTTCATGGAGAGTGAGGAAGAAAGCTCTCGCCTCGAAACTCACTTTCCTGGAACACATGTAAGGTAAGCAGGTCCTCCACAGAATCCGCACCAGTGACCAAACACCTATGCAGCCGTTTAAATCTCCAGGTGTGGATAAACTATTTTCTGTTCTGTTTCAACGGGTACAGGAGGAATTAATACTACATATAATTAGGATATCCCGGAGCAGTCTGGAACTTGGATATATACCAGAACCATGGAGAAGGAGAAAAGTATAAAAAAAGACATCCCAACTCCTTCCGACCAATCAGCCGTACATCATTTGTATTAGAAACAATAGAGAAAGAAGGCTGTTGATAATTATATCAGAACAGAAATCTAGGAAAGGGAACCTCTCCACCACAGCCAGCACGAGTAGCGTCAGAAACTGCCCTGAATATTCACCATACAACCATTCTAAATATTTTTCGCATTTTTGCGATTTTTTTGCAAACTTTTTTTGGAATAATATGGGTGCAGGATTTCGGAAAAAATACGCAAGTCTTCCTTTTGGCGACGAAAGAGCTGGCCCCAAGAGCTATTGTGAGCTTTTTTCAGTAATTCGCCTTTGGTGTGCCCTTCTTGAGACGGTAAAAGTACCAAAAACTGAACAATACTTTACATAAGAACAATTGTCACTTCCCACTTTTTTCTAAACCACGAGTAACATTTACACCGTCATCCACAACAACCTCCTTACAAAGAAAGCATTATGGAACGGAATCAGCTTCCATTTCAACAACACCAAGAGCTACCAAAAAATAGATGATCCAACCGTTAGAACAATTACACCAAGTTTTTAAAGTTGAGGCAAAATAAAACAAACCTTATTTTCTGCTTCCAACAAAAAAATCCTTGAATATTATTTCTTGTAAACAAGAATAACGTGGAAATTTCTCACTTTAAACACTTCTTTTTTTTATAACTGAATTAATTTAATGAAAAATATTTATTTTATTTTAAATAAATAATTCAAAATAAATAATGAAAAAATATCACCAGTACATCAATAATCTGGTCAAGCCGACGACTCCAACATAGAGATTGTATACAAACACATGCAGACAACTATCACCGCGTGGGTACACGAAGTTAGGTTATATATAATATCATGGATCTCAGAGGGGGAGCGTAAAAATGAAGTATATAATTGTAACAACCTTTTTAGAACCAAGAACGGATATGGGGATTGACTTATATCAATGGAAAGCTCAGAATACAAGCTTTAATTTGATCTAGTTATTAATCCTCAAAATAAAGAGCGGGGAACAAGAAATGGTTAAAGAAAAAAAAGGCCGGTTTTCACTCGTGTGATCAATTTTCCTCATTTCTTGAAAATTATTAGACTCTATTAAAAATAAAAATTATATTCGAAAAGTAGACCATCTAAGCTTGAAAATGATGTGCATTGGAAATCAATATAACGGATCATAAGATTATAATTCGCGCTTGTTCCGCAGATTCTATGGAACTCCCGAAATCGGCTAAAACATGTAAATAAACAAATTAATTTTGTATTAAAACGCAAGAAAAGTATTACAAAAAAATTTCTAAGATCATTCAAGACCCCCAAGGTCCCATTATAAAGGCAAAATTAGAATAAATGACTATTTTTAAAGAAAATATGAATAAATTACTGAAGCAGTCTCTAAATATTGTTGTAAAAAACTTTGACCACTTTTTTAAATATTTTTGGCAAATACGAATTGACTTCAAGTCGCATGGAATGGTAGCTACGGGTTTTTTCATTACGATGAACTTTGAATCATCGAAAAATATCAATTTTTTCCCGATATATGGAACAATTCGTCCGCCCGCTTACACGTTCATTCATAGAAAGCGGAATTCCTGCAGGTAGAGCAGCAGCTAAAATGAGGGGACTTTTGAGTGCCATTATCTCGAAAACTATTGAATTTTCGAAGAAAATGATAAGGGCCATTTTTGTAGGTAATGAGCTAATCTTAATTTTTTATTCGAACAAAAATTCTCTAATTGGCACATTTAGTCAGATATTAGCGGGAAACCCATTTTCCAGGTTTTAGGGGTCCATTTTCAGCCTCTTCCGGTACCAAGAATGCGTTAAGGATTTTCTCGTTTAAAAACACCTGCGATGACCTACAAATTGCGCTATGTGGGAACTCATCAGCGAATTTTCTACAGGTTTGACCCTTCAGTTACTGGACTATATAATAAAAAAGTAAAAAAAGAAACAAATTAAAACATATCGGATAAATAAGTAAAAAAAATTTAACTAACCAAAAAATATATTTAAAAAAATAGCTAGATGACAAAAAAATACAAATAATAAACCAAAAAACCATATTACCTAATAAAATCAACCAAAGACCATAAGTATCAAGCCGCTGGACGAAATATCTCGTACAAAAAAAAAATTCTCAGTCAAAACTACGTTCGAACGAAATAACGTCTTTATAAAAAAGCGCCTTATGAAATAGCGAGTATTGAAACAGCATCAGTCCGAAATGACTCCACGAAATACCGCCGAACGAAATAGCGCATTTCAAGATATCGCTATTGGTTTTATATAAATTATTAAAACAAACTAAATTATCTAACCTGTGTAACCTATAGCCATCGCGGGTTGCTTCGCAAAAAAAGTCATACATAAAATAAGAAACTGTGTGGTTTGGAGCCATTTAAAATTAAGCGATCGCTCATGTATAGGTTATGTAAATTAGGTAAGTTTCTCTTTCAAGAATAGTTATTATTAAATATTATTTACATGGTATTTACTTACTGTAGAGTATAAATTCAACCTCAAATCTTTTCCATCGTCATAAGTTTCTAATTTGGCGTTGTTGTTCATATCTGCTGACAACAACTGACCTTTAACCGTATGATACATGATAATCTCTTTTAATTTTTCTTTGTCGTTTTCGATTTCGCTTAGTAGCTTTTTACCTTCTGGAGTCTCAAAAACGGAATTGCTGGGAACGAAGACAGTAGCGTTTTGTAAACCATTAATCTGATCCTCAAGTTCTGCTTTTTGAATGAGTTCTTGGAACTTCGTATAATTTTGATGTTTAAGAACATTGCCAATGTATAGTCCTAAAAAAATATACAGATTGAATAATGAAATATTTGTTCTTATGTTAACTATACAGTATTACGTCATATTATTTTTACACGGGTCAATAGGAAAGAATGTAACTAAAGCATTGTGGCGACATTGCAAGCACCACAGTCTTACCTTTAGTTTTGACCCAGTATAAAGAATAATACAGTAGCGACAGATCATTTTTTATGAGGTGTCCATATTTTTCTGCGCATGTCCGAAAATAAGCGACAAAAACGTCAACGTCAATAGTGTCAATGCGATGTAAATATGACATTATTTTTGTTTGTTTGCAGTGTATATTTTGAGACATTTTTATTATTTTAGTTTTTCATTTATTGTGTGATATTTTTGAAATGGCTTCTGCACCTGATCAGAAAAAAAAGAGATGTGTCTATCGCCCTTGTCCATCTCAAACAGAGTAAA